AAGGTTTGCTGAAAGTGTACGTAATGCGTATGTTGAATCAAGTTGACCATCTTTATTTCCTCCTAACAAAAAAATACCAAATACGAATGGAGCACTTTTCCTTTAAGCCTTCCCACCATCTACTTAATAATGAAATGGAAATGTGTTGCTGTATATTTATTTAAAATTGTTCTTTATATAAATTGTTCTTTACATAAATATATAAAATTTATTTTACTTTTCGTAAGTACAGTTGAAGCAAAATCTATCTTATCTTCCCTGTTTCCCTGAAAATAAGACCTCTCTAGATAATAAGCCCAATCTGTCTTGTGAGCGTATGCACTAAAATAAGCTCTCCTGTGAAAATAAGCCCCACCATTTGCTGAGGGGGAACATGCTCCACACACCCCACATGTACCTGCCATCCACATGGAACGGCCTTGCAGACAGCACTCCCACCAACCCTAGCAACTGCGCCCCTTTGTGGACGCAAAAAGAGTGGAAGACCCAGCAATGCTAGGGCTGGCAAGAGTGTGCCAGAAACCGAGACAGAGTTTCTGACCCTCTCTGGATCAGCTGACTGAGCTTAAGGGGCCTCCTGCACCTCAAAAATAATAAGACCTCCCTGAAAATAAGGCCAAGCACTTATTTTTGGGGGTCAAAAGAAAATAAGATCCTGTCTTATTTTTAGGGAAACATGGTACATCTTGACAAATCTTGTATTCACACACCTAATTGCAGAATATTTATTACTATATGGGGAGGTCAACAAAATAGTCAAGATTATGACTTGAAATATCTTTTAAATATGTTGTTTGGAAAAAAAGTGTGAAAGATTTTTGGAGGGGAACATTGAAAAATTGTAAAAATAAGAAAAGTATATATTTATGCTCTTGGCAGCCAAATGTGCCTTTTAATGGAATTTAGATAAATGGATTTTTTATGATAAAAAGCAACACTAAAAGTCATGATTATATTTTTCATAGTTCATTTGTCTTCTTTGCCCTGCAGATCTAGTGTGGAAGGAAAATAAGATCCCTAGTGAAGTCTACATTGTGATTGACTCTGAAGATTCTGAGACCAATTGTTACTTAATGGCCCTTATTGGCCTATGCAATAAAAAGAGATACGATCTTAAAAAAACAAAACCCCGATGGTTCTTAAAAATTTTAAGAAATGTCATTTTTGTTATACATTAATTCTTCAATGCTGCGTTCTGACATCATCAACGTTGCCTAAAAATGTTATGGTAGACAAATAGATTGCATAAATGATGTGCTTGGTTCCCATGAATGTCCAGAAGAAACAATCATTATAATGAAGAAAGCGAAGATCATAATGATTTCATTATCTGAAATGGCACAGAATAATACTCTTTTGTCTTGTGGTTTAAGTCAGGATGTCTATGGAGAGTCTCAGTGATGCAGGCCATGGTTGTCCCAAAGGTCCTGTTTTCAAAAAGCAACTGGACTTTCTGTTTTTTCTTTGAAGATGTTTCACTTCTTATCCAAGAAACTTCTTTAGCTCTGACTGAATGGTGGGGAATGGAAGGATTTATACTCCTTGCAGACAGGTCATTTGCATTCTTCAGAGTCACTGAGGCCACCTGGAGGTTTATCTGTGTCATCGGGATCACATGCAGGATATTTGCCTGACCAGAACATCAGAATATATGAGATGGACCTCTAGGCCATGATGCCTATCAATACCTATTCCACCCTAATTTATGGGCATATAGGGCTTATTTGCTTTTTTAATCTAAAACATGACAACGTACTTTAAAAAGTTTGGGGCTCCTTTGCTTGAGATTAACCAAGTGCTCAATGACATATTTATTGATGTTCACCAAACATGTCTATTCCAGTCAATCAAAATATAGTTGGAAGGAATCTTGGAGGTCTTCTAGTCCAACTCCCTGCTCAAGCAGGATAACCTATACCATTTCAGATAGGTGGTTGTCGAGTTTTTTTCCTTAAAAACCTTCCATTATAAAGCCCCTACAACTTCTGACAGCAAGCTGTTCCATTGATTAATTGTCCTCACTGTTAGGAAGTTTCTCCTTAATTCCAAGTTGCTTCTTTCCTTGATTAGTTTCCATCCCTTGTTTTTTGTCCTGTCTTCTGGTGCTTTGGAAAATAACTTGGCCTCCTTTTCTTGTGGCAGCCCCTCAAATACTGGAATACTGCTATCATGTCACTCCTAGTCCTTCCTTTTTCTAGACTGGCCCAATTCCTGAAACCGTTCTTCATATGTTTTGTCTCCAGGTCTTTTAATTCCACCTAATTTTATTTTTATATACCTTTAATTAAAATATTGAACGAAAAGAAAAGCACTTTCCTGCAGTATACCATGACTTGTGTTTTTTTTTTTAAATCAAGGAGTAGGTTGCTGTTGCTCACTGCTTTTTGGAATGTATGCGTAGTTACTAAGAAGGTCTATTTTGAGGTCCCACTTGAGACACTCTGTAGTACTATAGTTCAATGTTACCAATGTAAATGGATCTTTTGTATTTTAACACTGTGTCTAAGGATGCTAAGGATCCCTGTTTTTGATCCCCTGTTTAACAACCTTTCACAAAACTGTGGCACATGAACTTTTGAATTAAAGCAAAGGAATGATAGTAGCAGAGGTGGTATTCAGCAGGTTTTGACCAGGTCTGGAAAATCGGTAGCGGAAATTTTGAGTAGTTCAGAGAATCGGTAAATACCACCTCTTACTGGCCCTGCCCCCATCTATTCTCTGCCTTCCGAGTCCCAGCTGATCGGAAGGGAATGGGGATTTTGCAGTAACCTTCCCCTGGAATGGGAAAGGAATGAAGATTTTACAGTATCCTTCCTCTGCCACCAAGTCATGCCACCCGCCAAGCCACGCCCACAGAACCAGCAGTAAAAAAAAATGAATCCCACATGCATATGCAAGTGGCCCTTATACTAGCAATAGATGGTGATAGATATTACCTGTCTCTTTGGGGTGAAATCTTCCAAAATTATTGAGATGACTCAGAAGCAGCCAGGCATTATTTCTTTGGCATATTAGATCTCTAATATATTAGAAAATTTAACTTCAAGAAGATAATCCAAAGCTTTGGATTCAGCACAGCACTTTTCTAATCCACCTTTTCATGACATTGGTAAAGTTCAAGTGGTGAAAAAAAGACTACCTGAGTCAATGTCTGGATCTCAATAGAGTCTTTAGCAAGGCCTAGTATTTGTCACCTTTGTATTGTCTGTTTCATTCCTTATTTACGCATCTATTACAAACTCGGTGAAAAGCCATGGGGAATTTTAGTAGGAGCACTTTATTTCACATATGATGTGTTGAGAAAGAGGTCAGAGAGGATAAGGCAATAATATCTCCCTATTTCATATTTTAAAGGTTTTCCGCAGTGAAACCCCCCCCCCCCCTGTAACCTTTCTCTAACTTGTTCTTTCCTGAAGGTGTCTTTTGGACCCAAACTATGATGACTTAGTGAAATGTCACATAAAAAGGTACATGAAGATTTAATTAGAAGATATTGTTTTATGGAGGATTTGATCATTGGCCACTTAAAATTTCTTTGGCCCTTCAAGCAAGATATATGTTGGCATGAAATATTTTCATTTAAAGGTCTACAATAAAGTGATGTGTTGTTATGTCACTTCCTGCCAGCATGTTGAGTATTTGTAAGCATCCCATACTTTGCATGTGGGTTTTATAGGTATAGTTCTTCATATTGTATTTTGGTCCACATTATTATGGATCATAATGTTTCTGTTATATAACCATTTTTTAGTCAAAGTGAAAGTTGATTCATTTAATGTGGCTGATATTTCACATCTTTAGCTCCATGTCACTAGTTATCATGTTTTTATCAGTGGAAATCCTTATTTTCAAAAGTGGATATTCACAATGGAATGAAACCTCATTTTTTGCACATCTGGGATGTGTGTAGGTACAGGGTAAATGTGCTTAATTAATTAGAAAATTATATTCTTAAATAGGAAACATCTGATAAGATTCAATGGAATTTATTTCTAGTACTTGACAGTTCAGCTAAGAAAGCCTTGGAAAATATATTTAAATACCATAATGTGTGTGGGCCTCCTCCGGGTGCCGTCAGCTGGACAATGCCAGCTGGGACTCCCCGGGGAAGGGCCTTCTCTGTTGTTGCGCCCACCCTGTGGAACGATCTACCTGCAGAGATCCGGACCCTTACCACTCTCCCAGCCTTCCATAAAGCCGTCAAGACCTGGCTGTTCCGGCAGGCCTGGNATATGCTGACTCTGTAAACCGCTTAGAGAGGGCTGAAATGAAGCGGTATATAAGTCTAACTGCTATTGCTATTGCTATTGCTATTTAGTTCCTAATATCTGAGGAATCATTTCCCAAACCTCCCTTAGGCCAACCGAAGATAGCAATAAACCATAGAGTAGAAAAATGCCTATAAAACACTCATTGGAAACTCTGTTTCTCAGTTTAAACTAATTTTTAAGAATGCTAAACTCATATTTTAAAAAGCACATTTAATCCATATCTCCTTTCAAACCAGTGTGCATAATAAAGCCTCATTTAGATATTATATGGGTAGATGGTTCTGTGGATGTTAGCTGTCTATTCTGTTTTGCCACCCAAGTCAAAGGGGCCATGAATTGGACATGCCTATAGCAATGGCCAATAGGAGATTGGCAGATCTCCGTAGCAGCAAGCTCTGTCAAAGGAAACAGGTTTGAGCAATGTAAATCTCGTTCTGTCTGCACTAAATTTTCACATATAATTTGCTTTTCTAGTAAAAGAAATCCAAGATAAGAATGTTGCAATAAGAAAAGTGTACTGTATAATTCTGAAATCCATATTAGAACAAATACTTTTCCTAGCTCATATTAAATCTCACGTAACAGTATTCAAGTTCTCTAGAATTCTTAATTAGTTTTAACTATTAAAAAGTGAAGAGTGAGTCAGGATTAAAACAAACAAAGAAACAAACAAACTCTACCTGGCATTGAAGATCTGTATTTAGGCACAGACTTAAAATGGAACATGGGAAGACATTACAGGTGGCATTTGAATTTGCCTTTTTTGGTTTTGGATTTTATCAAAAATTCATCCCTGGACTTCTGGGATATTTTTTTTAAAGGAGGAAGCAGCTGATTATTCATTTTTGAAAATGTAACATCTAGTACTGTTTCTGTCCTTAGGTAAAATGTACTCCTCTTGATACACATAAATCTAAATTTCTGTTTTGCTGTTGTATTTTGTGCTGTGGTTCCTGCCGTCTGAGATGAGAGCCACACCCATCATTTTGGCTTTCTAAAAAGACAAAGACATGGCTGTGCCAACTGGCCAGGGCTCCAGTGGCATTATGGAGATTGCTAATGGATTAGGTCAGGAGTGTTTTTCCCCTTTGCTAAAACAGGGGTGGACATGGTCAGCGCATGATGCCTCTGGCCAGGGGCCACAAGTTTGACACCCCTGGATTAGACAATACCTTACCTCATCTCTGTGTGTACTTTGTTCCTCTCCATCTTGGTCAATTTAATTTTAATTGGATTTTAAATTTAAGATAAATATTTATTATTTTAGTGTTTTAAGGGACGCAGATAGAAGATAAGAAAAATTAAATTTTGTGAACACCAGTATCATTTACTATATCTGTCTGTGTTTCTATCCTCGGAAAGCATCTTGCTTATCCATAATCACTACATGCATTCCCTTTTATTCATTAAATTCCCTCTTTTGAAAAATCTCATCAACTCCATCTAATCATGACTTTCTTCTACTCATTTACTCTTCATATATTTGTTGTGATCTGGTCCTTTTTCACTTTCCCTATAAAATCAAACCCTTTTAACAGTTATTTTGTACTGGTCACTTATTTTGAATTCAGTTCACTTATCACTTAATCATTCTTGATGCTATCTTTTCTTGTTTCATCACCTATGCTTCTTTCATGCTTGTACATTCATCTTAATATCAGCAAGTATATATTTATTGCACATGCATCAGTGGTGGGTTGCAGGTGGTACGCTCCGGTACGGGCATACCAGTGCCTGCCCGGAACACTGGGTACCATTCTGGTACGGTGCTCCAGAGGGCACACCCACCCAGCCAAGCTCCTTACCTGTATTTGAGCTCTTTGGTACTTCCGTGCACATGCATGGAGCTCACGGCACCTGCGCGATACTCCGCCAAGCAGCTGGAGCATCGCGGAAGCTTGCGGAGGCATCA